GCCCCGGGGCCTGGACACAGCGGTCCTCCTACCTGTTCACCTGGCGACGGGCACCCCGACTGGCTCCAGTCTGGCCACGTGGCGGTGGGGGTCTTCTAGGTCCCCGCTGTTTGTGGAAGGCCTGGTCCCAGGGTGGTGTGGTCGGGAGGTTGGGACCTGGTGGGAGGCCTGGGTCCCTGGAGGCGTGCCTCTGATGGAGGTGCAGGAGCCTGCGCCCTCCTGCCCTCTTCCTGGCCCCGAAGTGGGCATTCAGTCCTCCACGTGCCCCGGCCAGGAGGAGCTACCTGCCCCAGGCCCACTGTCTGTGGACCGAGCCTGCAGAGCCGCCAGGCAGAGCGGCCCTGGGCCCTGGTGCGGTGATGTCTCAGGCCCGTGTTGTAGCCGGGGAGCGCAGGCGCTGGGGTGACTGCCCTGCCTCCCCACAGCTCCGGGTGCCTTGGTGGGTAGGTACTCGGGGGAGGTGGCCGGGTCCTGGGCAGGTGTTTGTTGAACGCAATAAGATGTCACCCGATCCTTTCCTGTGCCAATCAGCCGGGTGTGAAAGCTCCCGATGCTGAACACGTTTTATGTCTTGCATGTATTTGTTTTCAGTTTTAAAATGTCGTCTTGACTGGAAACGACCCAATATCCCCCAGGTAAACAGAGGAACCATTTTTAGTGAATCCACACAATGGAATCCTACAAAGTCAACACAGCCAAGCGCCCGCCCGGCACAGCCTGGTCTCGCACACCCTGAAGGTGTGTCTTGCCGTCAGTCACAGCTCCATCACGCCTCTGTCACGCCTCCGTGGAGCTGTGGAGGGGCCTTGGTGGACACCTGCTTCACTCCACCCTGTAGGACCCGCTGCCTGTCCTTACGTTACTGTGCCTCTTGGGTCTGTCCCCCTATGAACTGCCGCCGTCCCTTTGCCGGCTTCATCCCGGGGCAGTCCTTCTGGGTGGAGCGCAGCGTCTAGCATATGATTGACATTTCCTGGGGCTGGGCTGGGGCTCGGGTGGTTCAACCCTCAGCACCGCATAGAGATAAATAAACGAATAAACAAACAAGCAAACACAGGGATCGTGTCCATCTACGCCTAAAAATGTATCAAGTCTCTTTCCCTCTGTCTTGTCACTGTTTCCCTTTGTACCAGGTATTGAACCCAGGGGCCCTAACCACTGAGCCTCTCAAAAAATATTCGATTTAGAGACAGGCTCTTGCTAAGTTGCTCAGGGCTCACTCAGAGGCTGAGTCTGGCTTTGAACGGTGGCCCTCCTGCTCCAGCCTCCCGAGCCGCTGGAGGACAGGCGAGGCTCGCCGGCCTCACCTGCCCTCAGGGCCACTCCTAGTGCCTGGCTGTGGGTGATTCCTCGTTTGGTTTTAGTTGTCAGTGGACTTTATTTTGTTCTGTTTACATGTGGTGCTGACCAGGGAACCCAGTGCCTCACCGGCCAGCGACAGCTGAGCTCCACCCCAGCCCCGTGGACGCCCTGAGATACTCCGCGCAGTCAATCTGCCCGGGCTGTCCTGTAGGGCCCCGGGGATACGTGGTTCCGGTGCACTGACCTCCTGCAGCTCCTTCTCGGAAGCCTTGCTTCCCGACTGACCGGGCGTAGAGGCGGCCCTTCCCCGTGTTCCCTCGGAGGCCCCTGGTCTTTGCCTGATGTGCTGCTGCCACAAACCGCCTTCTCCTTGTGAACTGTGCAAGACACAAAGAGTCAACTTCTCAGTGTCTCCTAGTGACCAGCTGGGGACCAGGGTGCAGTGGTGTGCACCTGCTGTCCCCGCACACAGACGTCAGAGGCAGAGGTCCCTGGAGCCCAGGAGCTTGAGGCCAACCTGGACGACACAGACAGACCCCATCTTTAAAAAAAAAATTTTTTTTTTGAAAGCACGAGACACAATTTATAAATAGCTACGGGAGATCGTGGGTTCCGCCACGAAGCGACCTCGGGGGAGGCTGACAGTGGCGTTCAGCGTGAGTGCCTGTGGCATCGCATGGGGACCTCCGCAAAGCCGGGTCCCTCACAGCCTCCAGGGCTGCCCCTCAGCCAGTCCCTCCGGCTTTGGGAACAACACCGGCATCCACCTCCGCGCTCAAGCCAGAAGGCAAGAAGATGTCCCTGACGCTCCTCCTCTGAGACTCACGCGGCAGGCGGCAGCCTGCCCTGCAGTGCACCCCTCCACCCTCCTCCTGCCCGGCGGCTGCCCTTCATCTAAACCATCACCAATTCCTACTCCAACGATTCTTAACTGTCTCCCTGCTTCAGGACTTGCTCCCTAAAATTCAGCCTTTTTTCCTGTTCAGTACTAGGGTTTAGAGCCAGGGGTGCTCTACTCCTGAGCTTTTCCAGCACTTTTTAATTTTAGTTTGGGACAGGGCTCACTAAGTTGCCGAGGCTGGCCTCGAACTTGTGATCCTCCTCCCTCAGCCTCCTGTGTTACTGGGATTACAGGCAACAAGCAATCAAGCCTTTTTTTTTTTTAGACAGAGAGTTTTTTGATATTTTTTTTTCTAGTTTTTGGCAGACACAACATCTTTGTTTGTATGTGGTGCTGAGGATTGAAATCGGGCCACACGCCTGCCAGGCGAGCGCGCTATCGCTTGAGCCACATCCCTAGCCCAGCCTTTCTTCATACAGAAGTTAAAATAACCTTAGAACATTAGTTGGATTATGACCTTCACCTGCTTAAACCCTGTCACTGAGTCACAGCTGGGTCTACAGCCGGGTTCCCAATGTCTCCTCTCCCGATTGTTTCTGACATTCAGCCGCCTGCCCTTCCACTTCCTTAAGTGTGCCAGCTCTTTTCTGCCTGTTCGTCAACTCTCCCGTCTGCCCCCTCCTGCTCAGCACTCTTTATTGGGCTGATTCCCACACAGTGTTCTTTTCTCTTCTTTCTTCACAGCATTTAGTACAATCCACAGCTTTTCTATGGTGTATTAGTTATCAGTTGCTGCATAACAAATTTCCCCAAGACTTAGTGGGAAGAAACAACTTTTACCACCCCAGATCCTGTGGATTCAGGATTCAGGTGAAGCTGAGCTGAGACTCTGCCTTGAATCTTCAAAGGCTGCATGTAACCAAGGTCCACTGGGGAGTTCACACGGGACAAGAGACCTTCCAAGACCAGACGCTCGTGGTTGTAGGCAGGGTTCAGTTCACAGGCTCTGGGAGGGAGGCTCTCATGCTGACTGTTGGTTGGGGACACCCTCAGCTCCTTGCTTTGTGGCCTCCCCACAGCGTGCTTCATCAAGGCGTGTGAGCTGCGAAGGCAACAGGCAACCTGCTAGCAGGACAAAGTCACAGTTTTTATAGCCCCATTACAGAAGTGACCTTGCATCTCTCTGGCTCCCCCTGCTGGTGTGGATCAAGTCATGGGGGGCTGGGGTTGTAGGTCAGTGGTAGAGCACTTGCCTAGCACTTGTGAGGCACTAGGTTCGATCTCCAGCACCACATAAGAATAAATAAATAAAGGTTAAAAAAGGACAAAGTTCTAAAGTTTTTTTGTTTTTTAAAAAGGGAACCAAGTCATTGGGTTCTGTTCACAGTCGGGAGAAGTTACCTGAGGGCATGGATGCGAGAGGGTGGGCAGCGAGACCCTCCTGGAGACCTGCCCTATCCCTCTCCCATCTGCGCGGCCTCTCGCTGGGCTGTGAGCGGTGATGGGAGGGGCTTTGTTTTTTCTTCTATTTTATTCTCCTCCTTTTCCGTTCTGGGGATCAAACCTGAGGCCTTACACATGCAAGGCAAGCACTCTACCACTGAGCTACATCTCCAGTACATCCATTTTATTTCTTAAAAACTTAAAAAAAAATTGTTTTTAAAATTGTACCACTGAGCCACATCCCTTGCCCTAAGAGTGTAAACGTTATGCATAACATTTACACTCTTAACCGTTTTGAAGAGCACAATTTTAGTGCATTAGTGCAACCTCCCCACTTCCTCATCTTCCCAAACTGAAACCCTCCCCCTAAGAATTAACTCCCCATTCTCTTTCCATCCTGTCCTCAGATTTTGTGAGTACGACTATGAGGATTTGTCCTTTTCCTTCTGGATTATTCCACACACCATACCCTCTGATACCTGGCTCATGGGTCGGCCAGAAAGAAGATCACAGCTGATAAGTGAAGACAGTCTTCTTCATAAGTCTTGTTGCTTTGGAGGGGGCACATGGGAAGCCTGTTTTTCCCATGTTCCTTCCACCTTAGGGAAAAAAGATCAATGTTCAATAGTCAGCCTTGAGTTACTTGGCCTGTCAGTAGCATGGACAAAAAAAAAAAAAAAAAAAAACCAAAAAACCCAAGATGATTCTCTTGAAATATGTTGGATCTATCCTATCTCCCATCAAAGTCCTGCAGTGATGCCAGGCCTGGTGGTACATGACTGTCACCTAGCAACTAGGGAGGCTGAGGCAGGGGGGTGCAAGTTTGAGGCCAGCCTCGACAACTTAGCAAGACCCAGTTTCAAAAATAAAAAGGGCAAGGGATGTGGTTAGTGGTACAGCAGTTGCCTGGCATGTGTGACGCCTTGGGTTGAATGCCATCCCATGTTTTTAGGCCCTCTAAGATCTGCCTCCCCTTGTGATCGAAGTCACCATGAATCTCCTGACCTTGAATTTATTCCTCCTATCAACTGAGATTTGTTGGACCCATACATATTCTTCTTAAGACTCCAGGAGGGGCATCATCAGAGAGGACGCTTTGAGAAGGAGCGCTCTCCGTGGAAAATCGCTTCCCGCCAAATCGTCCACCCGAACAGAATTCAGCACCAGGCACCCCTGGACAGCTCTGGAATCCGAACTCTTCCGGAACCATTCCTTAAAGACCCGGGTTTCCCACCGGAGTTGCCTGATGGTTGCTCCCGTAGCTCAGTAGGAGGAAACTACTTTTCCGTGCCGGTCGAGAGGCGGAGTCGCAAAATGAGTGGCAGCCTCTTCAACCAATGGAGAGGGGCGTTTTGCCAGCCGTGCCCAGGAAGACCAATGGGCGTGAGCGTGGGTGGGTCGTGGGCCGCGGCGCGCCGAGCCTGGGACTAGCCAGGACCGCGGCGGCGGGATTGGGATCGCGCAGCGGTTGGCGGTGGGCGGCTGAGCCAGGCGGGCTACGGCCGGAGCAGGTACGTGTGGGGTAGGGGGTGGGCCCGGGAAGGCGGGGGCAGGGCCGGGGCCTGGTGCACTCTGCCCGCCGAGGCCTGGCACCCACCGGGCACACAATAGGCGCTTAATAAGTGCTGAATTAATGTGCCTTCTGTGTCCCAGCCCCAGCAGCTCCCAGTTTGAGAGCGTCCAGGCCACCCTCATTCTCAGTTTCCGGAAGGGGGCACTCACACACCCATTAGGTATTTATTGGGCGCCTGCTGTGTGCCTCCGTGCCTCTCTCTGCTGGGGGCTGCTGGGCGCTGCTGGGCTTGAGCAGACAGACTCACTCCCCTGCCCCCGCGTAGTTCACAGCATGGAGGGAGAGGTGCCTTTAAATGCTTTAATTAATAAAGTTTCCCCAGTGCACAAAATAGAGGAAAATAATCCAGAAAAGGGGAGGGAGGAGGCAGCTGTGACCAGGGACATCAGAGCAGAGCCTAGAGGCAGGGTGAGGTGAGGGCTGGGCCATGAGAAGGGCTGGCACCTACCTGCGGGAAAGGAAATGAGACTCCACTCAATAGTGGTGACATTTTTGGGTCCAGGACAGAATCCACTGCACTTTGGCCCATCCATCCTGTGAGGAGGCCCAAGGCTCCAGCTCATCCAGCCAGTGGTTGCCGCGCATCTGTTGTGCCAGGCCTCGCGGTAGGTGCCAGGGACCTGGATTAGAGCAGGGGTCGGCCAGGGGAGGTCCTCCCGCGAGGTCCTGGGGCAGTGAACCTTAGAAATCTAGGGGAGGGCTGGGGCTGGGGCTGGGACTCAGCAGGAGGACGCTCGCCTAGCACATGTGAGGCGCTGGGTTCCGTCCTCAGCACCACATACAAATAAATAAAATAAAGGTGATGTGTCCACCACAGCTTAAGAAAGAAAGAGAGAAACTTGGGGGAGAAGGGTCTTCCAGGCAGAGTGGCCCTGAGGCAGGACAAGCTTGACACGTTCGAGGCCTAGGAAAGCTGGTGTGGGCCGAGGTGAGGCAGAAGTGGGTCACGCAGACCCCAGCCGGGGGGTGAAGAGTTGGGGTCTGCAGGAAGCCAGGGGAGCAGCACCCCAGGGAGCGTTCCGCAGCAGTGCAGGTGTCTGCTGGGTAGCCCAACGTGGAAGCCACTAGGCTCCCGGCCACAGGCACAAGACCGAGGACGCAGGCTCTCACGTTGTATCTGGGGTTTTCTTATAACTTTGTGTATGTGACGCTGAGGCTCGAACCCAGCGCCTCACACGTGGCCAGGCCAGCGCTCTGCCCCCGAGCCCCAGCCCAGCCCTGCGTCTGTCTTATTTTAATTAAACAGACACGTGACCAATGGCTGCCCGCTGGTTGGTGCAGTGCAGGGGGATTTTTCGTGGGAGGAGTGATGATGTACGGGAGCCCTGGGGTGGGTAAAGGGGGTGGTGTGACCGTCCTGGATGACCCCAGGCTGACGTGGCTGCCCCCGTGTCCGCAGTGACCGAGTGCCGTCATGCACCTCCAGCTGCGTGGTCAGGCCCCGTAGCGCGGGTGTGTGCACCCATGCGTGACCTGGGCCCTCGGTGACCACGGCGACCCCAGCCACCACCATGATGAAGTTGTTAGTGGCCAAGATCCTTTGCATGGTGGGCGTGTTCTTCTTCATGCTGCTGGGCTCCCTGCTCCCCGTGAAGGTCATCGAGACGGACTTTGAGAAGGCCCATCGCTCCAAAAAGATTCTTTCCCTCTGCAACACCTTTGGAGGCGGAGTCTTTCTGGCCACGTGCTTCAATGCGCTGCTGCCTGCTGTGCGGGAAAAGGTAATGCTCCCTGCTGACAGTTGGAGCCCTTGGCACCTCGGCGCCAAGGGGCTCTGATGGTTCACCAGCCCTGATACCAACTCGAGCGGGGGCCTTGATTCTGTGAGGATGACAGGAAGGAGAAAATGGATTGCTGTGTGATCTCATACCGATTGCTGCCCCTCTCTGTGCCTTGCCTGGTAAACAGGGGGTTTGATTAGACCTGTGTTGGGACTAGACTGATGAGCCCAATGGGAGGTGAGTATCCAGACCCTCTGCCCACTCCAGGCAGCATGATGCTCCGTCCTGAACCGAGTGTGGCTGTTCTCCTGCTCCTGCGTCTGTCAGCTGTTGCTGTGTGGCAGGTCACAACAGACCTGTGTCTTCAGGCCACAGATGCTGTTGTCTCTCAGTCTCTGTGGTCAGGAGTCTGGACACAGCCTCACTGTCCTCTGCTTCAGGGTCACCCAGGGTTGCTGCCCCCAACCTGCACGGGCAGCTGAACTTAAGGTCGCTCGTGTGAATTTCCGGGGACACCAAATACAACACGGACACAAGTTACCTTTAAACAAGCTTCAGGACGGCTTCTCCGGCCTCGGCCCCCGACTCCCCGAGAGCAAGAGCCCGAGAAGGCAGGGGAGGCTGGCAAGAGAGCAGGCAGGGTCGGAAGGGGCTTTTACTGGGGGGCTCTTGTTCTTAGGAAGTTCTGTCCAAAAAAGGGCAGGGTTACCAGGGACAGGTGACTGTAATCAACCCTGGGGGCACAAGGAAGAGCCCTTCCTACCCGAGCTGGACCGCCCGAGCCACGGCGGATGCAGTGCTTGGTCAGAATCTGAGGCATCGGGACTGGAAGGTGCGGTTATTCAGTGTGGCTCCCCACACAGGGTAGCAGTGGGGACGTGTCCTGGAGGGAATCCACCTGCAGGCGCCTGTGGCTGCCATCAGCCTGGGGACCTGAGTTTCTCACCCTGGTTTCCTGGAAGTGGCCCCCGGGCCCTTGCCCATGTGCTCTGCTGCAGGCTGAGAGCGCTGGGCTCTGCCCCGAGTCTCCAGCTGTGGCTCATGCAAGCAGTGACAGTGTGGCCGCCTTCTCCCCTGCTGGTGGCAGGCGAGGGCCAGCCCCCGCCACTCAGGGGGCTGGGTCACTGGGGACGGTCTCAGGGTCTGTCTGCCATGACACCCAACCTGGTGGCCCTGCAGTGGCCCATTCCTTGAGCACTCCTTCGGGGTCCCAGGGTTCAAGCCCCTCCGGGGGCCGCAGCTGGGTGGCCTGGCCATGCCTGCCTGGTGACCTCAGGTGAGCTACTCTTTCTCCCTGGGCCAGTGTGGGCAGGGCCTGGTGGACATCCTGGACTTCTTGTTCTTCCTCCATGAAAGCACAGCAGCCCCTCCCAGTGTCCCTGGAGCTGGGCTGTCCCTTCGAGCCCGTGAGTGCAAGGGTGGCATTCTCAGACGGCCCTAGATGCCAGCCCTGGGTACACGTGCCCCCTGCCTGGTACGCAGGTGGGGCCGGGAAGGAGGCCGTCGCTCCTGCGGCCGCGTTCTCCGGCTGGAGGGATTTCGTGACCGCTGAGGCCCGTGGCTCAGGTGACACGGAGGTCATCAAAAGGCAAGTAAGCGGGGTGGACCTGGCCGGCCTGGGACAGTGCCAACCCTCCTGCCAGCCTCAGGGACTGAGGGCCAGGCGTGGGCAGCGGGGCAGTGAGGATCTGAGGGAGGCCCCAGCCCAGGCCACCCCCCCAGCAGCCAGTGTGGTCCTGGGACCTCAGTCATGGCTGCCAGGGGATGGGAGTGCCACCACCCGCGGCTGCAGACTAAGCAGAGGGCCAGCCGCCGTTAGAGCCGCACGGTGCCATTCAGTGTCCTTGGCCAGGAGGCTGTCCTCTGGGCACCAGGGAGTGAGCACGGCTGTGCCCCTGAGAGGGTGACTGAGGCGTCTCTTGAGATCTGCACTTTCTCCTCATGCCCATGTCACCCGGCCACCCTGCCTCAGGCCTGGACGTCTGTGGGTGGCCTCCTGTCCCCTCTGGCCCATCCTCCTGCAGCACGGGCGGCCTCTGGGGTCCTCCTGGCCTCCGCACTTGCCTGCTCAGGGCCGTGCCCCCTCAGCACGCGGAGCTCCCAGCCCGGCCCGCCACAGAGCAGGCCCCCACCTCCTGCACGTCCTTTGGATCCGTGCTCAGCCCCTGGGAGCAGCCAGTGGTCCCCGTGAGCCACCATGTCCCCAGGAGAGGCTCGCAGAAGCCTCCGGTGGCTGTTCAGGGAGCAGGTGAGGTGGCTTCTCTGTGGAAACCGTCTCCACTGCAGCAAGGTTCTCTTCTGGGCCATCTGTCCCTGGGGTAACCGGGCCATACTAGGGACACAGGTGGCTGTCCCAACTCGGGGTGCCCTGGCCTGGAGTGGGCAGTGCTGAGCACCCTGCAGGCCTGGGGTGGCTTGCCACAGAGAAGGATCCTGCCCTAAATGCTCCCATTCTAATTATGACAGTCAAAACTGTCCCCAGACCTCGTGGCCACGTGTCCCCTGGGGGTAGACACCTGGCAGGTGAGGACCTGTGTCCCGTGATGAAATGACAGTGGGGGTGGGAGGTGGGGCTCCCTGCACTGGGCCTCGTGGCCTCGGAGAGTGGCCATAGCTGGCCCTGCCCGCCGACTCCCAGAGGGTGGCCGGTGTCCACAGGGTGCCTTCCACAGCACCTCGTCCTGGCAGACAGCCTGAGGCCTGGCGTCCACCCTGTGGGGTGTCCCTCTTACAGGAGCGTCTGTACTCCTGTGGCCCTTGGGAGCCAGGAGCTCGGGGCTCGGCATGTGGTCAGCTCTGACCCGTGGGAGGGAGTGGAGGAACCAGCAGTTCACCAGTTCCAGGCCGGGGCTGTGGCAGGACACCCTGCAGGCCCCACCGGGGCAGAGAGCAAGGGGGCGAGGGACCCGGGCCAGGGCCTTTACTGTCGGGCGTCACCTGGGGGCTCCAAGAGCAACTGGCTGGGGATCAGAGCATGTGGCATGGTGCCTGGAGGTGCCTGAGGCTGCGAGGGTGTCCCTGGCACGTCCGCACGTCCTTTTGGGGTGTGGTCAGCCGGGCAAGTCAGGCAGCCTGCATCCAGCGTCCCACAGTGAGGTGGTCACTGTGGTGGCTGTCCCAGGCAGAGGGCTGGATGGACCTCACTGAGGAGCTGAGAGCAGGCCCGAGGGGGAGGCCGGGTTCAGGGTGCACGTGGAGGGGACAGAAGCAGAGTCTCTGCAGGGCACCTGGTGTAGGTGGAGCACCGCGAAATGCCAGGGAGGTGAAGACCCAAAGGGGGAGTGGACGGCACGGTCCTGCCCTGGGGGTGGCGGGCGCTCGGGTGCACTTCCAGAGAGGCCTGGGCCCACAGCCGCTGGCTGCAGCTCAGGTTCCAGGGGACAGGACCAGACTCCAGCCACACGTCACTCCCCCTGGCCACATGTGGACAGTCTGGGAAGTCCTGCAGGCAGTGCCAGCTGAAGGTCCCTGGGTCGGGCACAGGCTCCAGAAGCAGAGCTTCCCAACTGCCCGCTGGGGAGGCCAGCTCCACACAGCCCCGGGCACACGGGGGCCACACCTGTCATCCCCGCAGCTCTGGAGGCTGAGGCAGAAGGATCAAAGTCAGAGGCCAGCCTCAGCAATGTAGCGAGACCCTGTGTCAAAATAAAAAGGGCTGGGGAGTGGCTCCCTGGTGGCCTGCCTGCTCTGCCGTGTCCCTCCCTGGTGGCCTGCCTCTTCCCGTGGACTCCATGTGCATGGGCACCTGGCATCTCTCTCTGCACAAGGACACCAGGCCTGTGGGTCAGGTCCCACCTGATGATCATGTCACCTTTTTGAAGCCTCCTCTGCAGATAGGTTTGCATTTTGAGGCCCTGGGGTGGGGTTCAGCCGTGACACTTGAGTTGCACTCGCAAGACCCTTCCTCCAGATGAGGCCACGGTGTGTGGTTCCTGGTGACGTGTCTCTCAGGGACACGGTGTGGCCCCCTGAGGTGCTCCATGCACGTGAGACCTTCGGGTGGCCTGATAACAGGGGTGGGTCTTTAGGTCCAGCGCGTTGAGCGCCTCCCGTCGCTGAGCTGCGGGCCTGGGGTCGGAGCCCAGGGCATCCACCGGAGCTGCCCTCTGGGCTCACACTGAGCATGACGTGACCCTGTGCCGCGCCACTGCCGCCCTGACGGCCTTTCCCTCGCGTGTCCCCACTGCAGCTGCAGAGGGTGCTGAGTCTCGGGCACATCAGCACTGACTACCCGCTGGCCGAGACCCTCCTGCTGCTGGGCTTCTTCCTGACCGTGTTCCTGGAGCAGCTGGTGCTGACCTTTCGTAAGGAGAAGCCGTCCTTCATCGACCTGGAGACCTTCAATGCGGGCTCCGACGTGGGCAGCGACTCCGAGTACGAGAGCCCCTTCATGGGGGGCGCGCGCGGCCACGCCCACGGCGCCGGCCTGAGCGTGCGCGAGCTGTCGCGCTCCGGGCCGCTGCGCCTGCTCAGCCTGGCCTTCGCCCTGGCCGCCCACTCCATCTTCGAGGGCCTGGCGCTCGGCCTGCAGGAGGAGGGGGAGAAGGTGGTGAGCCTGTTCGTGGGCGTGGCTGTCCACGAGACGCTGGTGGCAGTGGCCCTGGGCATCAGCATGGCCAGGAGTGCCATGCCCCTGAGGGATGCAGCCAAGCTGGCGGTCGCCGTGAGCATCATGATCCCCCTGGGCATCAGCATCGGCCTGGGCATCGAGAGCGCTCGGGGTGTTCCCAGCAGCGTGGCCTCAGTGCTGCTGCAAGGCCTGGCAGGTGGCACCTTCCTATTCGTCACCTTCTTGGAGATCCTGGCTAGGGAGCTGGAGGACAGGAATGACCGCCTGCTCAAGGTCCTCTTCCTGGTGCTGGGCTATGCCGTCCTGGCTGGGATGGTCTTCCTCAAGTGGTGAGTGCCCTCCTGGTTGCTGCCTTGTGAGCCCTGGAGCCCCAGGCTGGACGTGGGCTGGGACCTGCCGCTTCCTGGAGAGGGAGCGCCGTGAGCCCCGGCCTTCACCCAGGAGGACCCCCGGACCAGGCCGGGCCCAGCCCTGCGCCCCTGCCCGCACCCCAGCCCCAGAGCACTGATCCTCTTTAAAACACTCTGACGTACTCACCAAAGCCGTGTGGCCGTGTCAGCTGCCCGAAGAGGGTCGTAACTCGCAGGAGGTGGGGCGGGGCTGATGTCCCCGCGGGGCCAGGCCAGACCTTCTCCTCCCTGCCACACCCCAGCCCCAGGCCAGCTGGGCACATGGGACCAGCTGGGCACAGTGCGGGCAGCGCCTGGGATGCAGAGAGCTGGGGGCTCGGGGCTGTGTGCTCCTGCCCGCTGCCGCGGAGACCTGCCCTGCCTCACCGCGTCCCACGCCTGTGAGGTGTGTTGGCGCCTCTGTGCCACAGCTGGACGGCTGGAGCTCTGTCCCTCCTGCCAGGGGAGCTGTGCCTCCTGGGGGCCAGGCGAGTCCCAGTTACCCACCTGGGCTGTGGCTCCCACTGACCACTCAGAGGTGCCCTCGCCTTCCCTTGCTTCTGCTGTGGTCCCCTGGAACGGGAGGCTGCTCTGCAGGGGGACGAGGCCCTTGGCTGGGCGTCACGATTTCCAGACATGGAAGGAGGCCAGGACTCAGCATGGTGATGGCCTCTCGGCCCCGCACACGCCAGGGTCTCCAGAGGAGGCAGGCAGGGCAGTCCTGGCCTCGCAGCACAGCAAAACCCCCTGGCACAAGGGTGCCCAGGGCAGCAGGGCAGCCAGCAGGAACAGGAGCCCTGGCCTCCCTGGCAGCCCTCTGCTGCCTGGCCTGTCCCCCCACAGCCCCCACCGGTCCAGGCAGGCGAGCCACATTGCTCCCCGGAGTCTGCTGCCTGTCTCCGTGGACCCGCTGCTGTGCCGCGGCCTCCCTCTGGCCTCAGGCCCCAGCGTCCATCTCTGGGTCCAGTCACGGGCCACTGAGGCCTCTCAGGACCACAAGGATCCCATTCCCTCACCATCCCCTTTGCCTGCCACCTGGCCCGCCACCTCTGCTGTGTCCCAGTGCCACCCAGGGTTGGCTAAGCTCCCCAGCAGGGCGGGGCTCCCTCTGCCCAGGCTCCAGGCTGGACAGGGCCTTCTGTTCCTCCCACTCTGGCCAGGACCGACTTGTCCAAGGGTGGCTGCCCCTGCAGGGTGACCCTGCCACCCACTGGCTCACAGGACTCGAGGCTCAGGAGGACCTGCCTGTTCACAGCCCTGCAGCCAGAAGCAGGCCAAGTGCCTGGACTGCCAGACACAGCCCCTCCTGCCGCTGGGCGGTCCAGCTCTTCCCGGGGAGCCCAGGCAGTCCAGCCGGCGCTTGCCCAGGTGTGGGGACAACTGTGCCCCTCCTAGTTCTCATCCTCTCCACCTGGCCCTGCTGGGCGGCTCTGATGCTCCTCCTTAGCCTTAGCTGCTGTGGGTCCTGGGGCAGCCGGGTCCCCAGGGGAGGGCCCAGGGTCTGCATGTGGCTGGGCTGGGAAGGCTCAGGGTCCCCTGTCCTCCACAGCCAGCAGGGGTCTGCCCCTCCCTTCCCCCATCACTGCCAAGAGCATGAAGTAGTGTCCCTTTCCTGCCACACATCAGCTCCCTGGGGTGGCCCTAGGGACACCAGCAAGCCTGCCCTATGCCACCTCAGTGCCTCACCCCCCGTTGGGGCCTCCAAGACCATGTGGCCCCCTAAAGGGCCTTCCCTAAGTGTGGGAAGATGCCAGGTGCCCACTGAGCTGGCCACGTTCACCTTGGGCCCAGCCTGCCCCACGGTTAGACCCTCAGCCACCAGGCAGAGTCCAGTGGTGGGGCATCCCTAGGTCCCCGGGCCTTGCTGCCGCTGCCACCCTGGGCTCCTCCCTACCCCTGCCCAGCCTCAAAAGCTGGTCCAGGCCCCACCCAGGATGAAGGGCCACTGCCTGCCTCCCAGCCACCATCTCCACCCGCCAAGGTCCTGCCCTCTGGTCCCCACTTGTCCGCTGCAGCCAGAGGGTCAGGTCAGTCCTTCGCAGCCCACCTCTGGGGCATGGGGAAGGGCGGACGTGGCCCGGCAGCAGGTGTCTTTGGTCTCGTGGTGAACAAAGAAGTCGGTGTCTCCAATGTCCCTGGCCGACTTGGCGAGTCCAGCCGGATCCTGGTCCGTGGCCCCCGGGCACCCTCACTGCCTGCTGCTGCACACTGGCCACCAGGGCCCAGCCAGGAATATCAAGTCGTGGGAAAAGCTCCGTCCACCCGTGCGACCCCAGCCCGGCCACGCCAGTGCCCATGGGAGTTGGGTTGCTCCCAGGGGGTCTCTTGCTGACTGGTTCTCAGGGTGACCTGAACCACGTCTGGGGACATTTGTGGCTGCACCACAGGAGAGTCCATCACAGACCACGTCGTCGATGGGAACAGCGGCTGGAGCGACCAGATCCCGCTCCTCATGGAGATGGGGGAGGCGGCGGCTCGGCTCCCAGTGAGGCGGCCTAATAACAGCGTGTCAGGCTCCTGCGCGGCTTGTTTGCGTCTCTGCCGCTGAAGTCATTAGCGCAGGCGGGGGCCCCCCCCCCCCCCCCCCCCCCCGTCTCGGGCCCAGAGAAGCCCATGGCACCTTTGGACCTGTCCCAGCGGCCGCCCCTGCCCTACCTGGGCCCGGGTCTCGGGTTGGCTTCAGGTCAAGGCCAGGGGCCCCGTCACTCCTGAAGATCCAGGCTTCCCCTCAGTGCCCCCGGCCATCCCAGCCCCTCCTGAGCAGCAGGCAGGGGCCCAGGCTCCTGAGAGCACCGGAGGGTCCCCTCGGGATGGCTGCTGCCGGGCGCGGGGGCCTGGACGCGTCACACCTCTCCAGCTCCGTCCTGCCCCCTCCCAGGCTCTGTAAGCTGCACCTGTAGCTCCTTAAGATAGGGACACAGCTGACCTCTGCCAAGGGCAAAGTGACCACTGTAGGGAGGACCGGCTGTGGGAGGCAGCACGGCCCTGCCGCCCTGGGGCACAGTGGCAGCCGCCTGTCCTGCTTCCTCCTTAAGGGATGTGACTAGGTGGGGGGCCCCTCTCTGGAAGGACCCGCTGGGCTCGTCCCAGCTCCGTCAGGCCCACCAGACTGGCCCGATGAGATGGCCCTAGAACAGGGACTGTCCCCTTGGCACTGGGGACCTTGGGGCCGGCGGGTGTCATGGGTGCCAGCAGCACTCCTGGCTCTGGGCTGGGCTGGGGCAGTGTGACCTGTGCCCCTGCTCCAGGCCCTCCACTTGGCTCCTGGCACGGCAGAGTGCTGGGGGCCAGAAAGGACCCTGGTGAGACCCAGCCCAGGTCCAAGGCCATCACATTCTAGAGAGGGGTGTGGCACCAACACAGTGCCATATCCAGTAGCAAGAGGGCCCTGAGGAGAGAGGGCAAAGGGACAGGGATGTTCCACCCAGGGGCCAGGTGACACCTGAGAGGCACCAGCGGAAGAGCAGTCAGTCCAAAGGCCCTGGGGCAGCTCCTGTGCCTGGCTGCTCTGCGAAGAGCTCAGGTGTTCCGGCGCTTTCCTGCCACAGGGAGGCTTCAGCAGCTCCCCTCCTCCAAGGTGATGGTGAGGAGCCCCCATCCCTCAGGAGCGTCCAGGCCACCTGTGGGGCCGGGCAGGAGCTCGGGGGAGGCGCGTGTCCTCCGTGCTGGGCTGTGGTCCTGGGGAGCCACAGATACTGACGGGCAGAAACGGGCTTAGAGATGGCAGCCCATTTGTTTTGGAAGACAAGCTGCGTTTTGACCAATGACCTCCTTGTTTTAAAATATTGATGCAAACTTAATGTCAACCAAAAGCCCTGTGGGCCAGACCCCAGCGCCTGAGGCCGTGGCAGGCAGCCTCTGCTCACCTGCAGGTGGTATTAGTCCCTAGAGAATGCAGAGTGAAGCCAGCTGCCCTCCTGCCCAGGCCAGCCTGGGGATGCCCAGGCCTGGCGTGGCCCTGGCCAGGGGACTGGGGTGAGATCGGGTCCCTGGGGTGGCCAGGCCAGGTGAGGAGCTGGGACTTTGCCCTGGCACTTGGGTGGGAGGAGGATCTGTAAGACAAGACCCACTAAAGGTCCCTGGGCTGGGCCCCAGACGGCCAGGGGCTGGAAGGAGGGGCATCAAGAACAGCCCCCAGACCCAGCCGCCTGCGCTGTTCAGATCCTGTTGGAACCAAGTTCCAGTCCAGGTCCTGCCTCTTCCTCGCTGAGCCACCTTGGGCCAGTTGCTGCCCTTCTCTGAGCCCTGGGAGCTGGACGCACTGGGAGCTGTCAGCATGGATGAGTGGGGACCCTGTCTGGCTGGGGAGCTGGAGGGGCTGGCTAGAGCTGGGGATGTCCTCTCCCTGTCCAGAAGCAGTCAGCACCCGGGGAGCCCAGGGACTCCAGGGAGGGAGTGCCAGGAAGGGGTGCTGCCTTGGCTTGCTCTGCCTCCCGGGGTCTGCTCTCTCCAGTAGTAGGAGGTCACAGCTCCCAAGGAGGGGCAGAGTTGACAGTGCCCATCTCCTTGGCCAGCCATGGGAGAGGCAGCACTGCCACCCTTGTGGGGTGCTCCCATGTCCCAGGGAGAGCAAGGAGGGACCTGAAGTCCCTGGCTCACAAGGCCAGAGCCTGGCCTGGGATCTATAAATAGCAGCAGAGCATGGCACGCTGAGCGGTGCCCACTCTCCTACCATGAGTCAGCCTGCCCCAGCCTGGGAGAGCTGGAGAGCTGGCCAGACCCCGCCCAGGGCCCTCCAGTCATTCAGGAGACTGGCAGAGACCAGCGGGTGTCAAAGTGGAGGGAGCAGGGCGCCCATCCTGAGCCTGTCTGCACTTGGCTGTTCCCAGCAGCCCTGAGGGGCAGGAGTCTGAGGCCCAGGGAGCCTGGCTGGGCAGGGTTGAGCACACCCTGAAATGAAGGCCAGGCCACCCTCTAAGGCACCCCGCAGGGCCAGCACAGAGCAGGATGGGAAGGAACCTGAGCCTCAGACCAGGAGGCTGCACCTTGACCCAGGAGGCAGAGGGAGGCCGGGATGGGAGGACAGGACTGAAGTCAGGGAGAGATGCCCCTGAGCCCTCCTGCTGAGTCCTGCCTGGCAGGAGAGGAGGGGGTGGTCCTGGAGGCAGTGCTGGGTCTCCAAGGGAGCAGCAGGGGCCCACCTCAG